AGATGCAATAATTACATGTGGAAATCAATGTATGGCATTAAGAGGTCATTGAGATTTAGGTTGTATATTTAAGGATGATACAAATAAAAATGATGGGAACTTTAGAGCTATTCTTAGAAACCGAGCAATTGGAGATGATGAGCTCAGGATTAACTTGTTAAATGCACCGAAAAATGCTACGTATTTAAGCCCCACCATTCAAAACGAAATCATTGATGTGTGTAATGATTTAATATTAAGAAAGGTAGTTGCCAACATTAACAAGTCTCCATTCTCAGTCTTGGCAGATGAATCAACTGATATATCTGGCATAGACCAAATGTCCTTGTGTGCTCGATATTTATATTCTGAAAATGGTAAAATTTATATTTATTTTATATAAATTATTATCATTTATATAGACGAAGTTCAAATAAAAGAAGACTTTTTGCAATTTATTCCTATTCAAGATATGAGAGGTGAATGTCTTGCTAACACAATTGATGTTCATCTTAGAAAATTTAAAATTAATGTTAATTTAATGCGGGGACAAGGATATGATGGTGCCCCTGCTAGTGGACATTTAAATGGTGTTCAATCACATTTAATAAAAAAATATCCTACTGCAATTTATGTACATTGTGCATCGCATTCCCTAAATCTAGCCATTTCTGATTGTTGCTCAATTCCCGTTATTCGTAGTACCATGGGTTTAATAAACTTTTATTTTAATTATAATCATATATTTAAAAAGGCACAATAGGCAAGGTATATGATATGTTCAAGTATCCAAAAAGATCTAATGTCCTCAAAAACATTCTGGCAAAGGAAGAATTTGGCAATAATCATCATAAACTTGAGAAAATGTGCCCTACAAGATGGATCCTACGACATGAAGGTTGCAGTTTTTCTTGAATTATTTGACCCGATAATTGTTGCATTAGAGGAAATATGTGGATGGACAGATACATCAGTGGTGGCAGAAGCCAATGGAATCTTGAAAGCGATTCAAGATCCTGAGTTTTTATTGGCCATTAATTGCATTAACACTCTCTTCTGCCACACAATATTATTATGCAGAGCCTTGCAAAGAGTGAACCAAGATATGGGTCAGGCATTGATCTTAGCTGAAGATGCATATAATGCTATTTTACAGATAAGAAAAAAAGCTGATTGTGAATTTAGAACGATTTTTAACAAAGTTCAAAAAAAAAGTGCAATCTTATAATATGATAATAAGCATGCCAAGAATAGTATCAAGACACATAGGAATAATATTTCCTTACAATCAGTTGAGGAGTATTACAAAATTATTATTTTTATACCACTTATGGACACTTTTTTAACTCAGATTAAAGAACGTTTATTAAACCATAAACTTTTGCTAAGTAACTTTCATATTTTGTTATCCTCTAATCCATCTGTTAACATTTCGGATGACAGTAGAAATAAAATTCAGTATTTATATAATTTTTATTTGCAAGATATGGTAGGGACCGAATTAGAAAAAATAAGTGTCATAATTGGGAGACTTTGATTTGTAAAATTTGATTTTTCGTAAAGTCAGTATGTATTGCGTTTGATGAGTCATTGTTATTTTTATAATTTTATGTTTTAGTTTAATCGCGTTAACATTTTATTTTTAGATTTATAAAAGTTAATTATTGTAAAGTCATTATGATGATGGGATAATTTATAATTTCTAAAAATGTATTTTTATCTTATAATTTTAATTTGAGGCATTATTAGGTACTTTATAATTGTAAAAGAAGCTATTAGATTGTTAAATTTTAATTATTTATTTGTGATGATTATTGATTCCCTATAAAAGGGAAGAGAAAATTGTAAATTATCAATTCATTTTATTTTTTGAATTCATTTTTTGTTAATTAATTTTTTTTTTTTATTATTACTATTTGTTTTTGGTTTTTGATTATAAAATTATTTTTCTTGTTTTGTGAATAAAATTTATTCTATTATTAGATCATCATTCTAATATTGTAAAAACCGGTCACAACGTGATAATAAGTGAATTTAAATATTGGTTTGCCAATTTAAAAAGAATGGATATAAAGCCTGATAATGCATTAAATGCACTGAATATTTGTAAACACACACTAATTGAATTTCCGAACATAACAAAATTATTTCAAATTTTAGCATGCCTCCCAATTACGACATGTACAAATGAAAGAACTTTCTCTAATTTAAGAAGACTAAAAACATACTTACGAAATACTACCTCGCAAAATAGATTAAATGGTTTAGCGCTATTAAATATTCATTGGGAATTAACACCAGATAATACTAAAATAATTAATGAATTATCAAATTCTAATAGAAAATTAGATATAACATTATAAATTATTACCACGTTTTTGTATGATCTATCTTATATTACACTAAACATAAATTGTTACCACGTTTTTTATGATCTATCTTATGATATAACATAAATTAATACCACATTTTTGTGTGATCTATCTATATTAACAATAAACTAATAAAAATATATTTCATATTTTTTCCGGGCTTATTATTTGTTTAAAAAAATTTTAAATATATATAGGATTAATAACCCAGCCGAAGGCCGGGTAAAACTAGGCCAAAAATAGGGTCTGGGGGCGAAGCCCCCATAAATTTTGTAATTCCCCCCCCCCCCGCCCTTAGGAAAATCCTGGCTACGCCTATGTGTTAGATAAATTGATAAAACAAAAACACTAAAAACCTTTAGAAGAAATTATGCAAACATATTGAAGCCTTGAGTTATTTACACGGCAAAAATGCCATATTAGAAATGAAATTTTGTAACTACAAAATAAGAACCAGAGTGATATTATGAAAGCAATTAAGATTTTATATATTATTGTCGCACCATCTCTAGTTGGTATAATATATCTTAACTAGTTGATAACCCGTCAAAAATGACGGGGATGAGAATTTTATTCGTTCTTTTACGATAATTCTTTTTACCCCTCCCCCTCCTCCTTCAGGCCAATTCCAACCCATTAAGACTAAGAGAGAGGAATTGTCTTTTTTATTCAATGATTGATGAATAATATATTTTACCTTTATTTGATGATGGATGAATCAGACATTTTCCTTTTTATGAGATGTGATTTCGAAATTTATATTTTGAATTACAAAAATGAAACAATATCTCTTATTAGCACCCTAAATACTAACATTATTTACCAAAGCTCCTGTTAGTCAGAATTACTGTTCACTCCCCACCGCGTGAAGGTAGGAGATAGATTTTAGGGGAGCAAAGAAATGAAAAAAAGAATGAAAATAAGAAGGAAGAAATAGAAAAAAAGAGACAAAGATATGAATTATAAGAAAATACAATAAATATTTATACTTCAAGAGTTGATGATTATCGGGTTACAACACATATGCATTTGTAGCCATATAAAAAATATAATATAATAAATTTTATAATATAGAAAATTTTACCTAAAAAAAGAGATTTCAATCTCTTTTCTTTGCTCAAGGTGGTTTCGTGAAGATGATGTTGTGATTTCCTTGCTCGTAGTTTGTCGTAAATAACCTGAAATAAAACGTGTAAATTGAAATTAAATATAATATACTGTTGTTGGTGAGGAAGATGGTTTAGCGATGGTGAAGAAGTTCTCTTTTCTTTGCTCAAGGTGGTTTCGTTTTTGAAGATGATGTTGTGATTTCCTTGCTCGTAGTTTGCCGTAAATAACCTGAAATAAAACGTGTAAATTGAAATTAAATAGAATATACTGTTGTTGGGGAGGAAGATGGTTTAGCGATGGTGAAGAAGTTCTCTTTTCTTTGCTCAAGTTGGTTTCGTTTTTGAAGATGATGTTGTAATTTCCTTGCTCGTAGTTTGCCGTAAATAACCTGAAAAAAAACGTGTAAATTGAAATTATAAAACTGTTGTTAGTAGCGATGGTGAAGAAGTTCTCTTTTCTTTGCTCAAGGTGGTTTCGTTTTTGAAGATGATGTTGTGATTTCCTTGTTCGTAGTTTGCCGTAAATAACCTGAAATAAAACGTGTAAATTGAAATTATAAAATAGAATATACTGTTGTTGGTGAGGAAGATGGTTTAGCGATGGTGAAGAAGTTCTCTTTTCTTTGCTCAAGGTGGTTTTGTTTTTGAAGATGTTGTTGTGATTTCCTTGCTCGTAGTTTGCCGTAAATAACCTGAAATAAAACGTGTAAATTGAAATTAAATAGAATATACTGTTGTTGGTGAGGAAGATGGTTTAGCGATGGTGAAGAAGTTCTTTTTTCTTTACTCAAGGTGGTTTCGTTTTTGAAGATGATGTTATGATTTCCTTGTTCGTAGTTTGCCGTAAATAACCTGAAATAAAACGTGTAAATTGAAATTATAAAATAGAATATACTGTTGTTGGTGAGGAAGATGGTTTAGCGATGGTGAAGAAGTTCTCTTTATTTTGCTCAATGTAGTTTCGTTTTTGAAGATGATGTTGTGATTTTCTTGCTCGTAGTTTGCTGTAAATAACCTGAAATAAAACGCGTAAATTGAAATTATAAAATAGAATATACTGTTTTTGGTGAGGAAGATGGTTTAGCGATGGTGAAGAAGTTCTCTTTGCTTTGCTCAAGGTGGTTTAGTTTTTGAAGATGATGTAAAGTTGGTGATTTGATGGTGAATAACAAAGTTGGTGACTTTTTTAAATTTCTTACAAATTATGAATTTAAGATTTCATTATATACGATATTTTGTGTGAATGTTTTATCATTTTTTAAAATTTTTCCTTGTAATTCTGATGGCAAAATCATAATTTTTATATTATTTTGAGATTTACATCTAGTAAGAGCCACATATAGTTGTCCATGGGCAAAGACGAGCTCAGGGAGGAATAAGTCTACATGATCAAAAGTTTGTCCTTGACTTTTATTTATTGTAATCACAAAAGCGGGAATTATAGGAAACTGTCGTCTTTTTAAAGTAAATGGTAACTGAGAGTCACTTGGAGCTAGATCTATTTGTGGGAGAAAAACTCGATAACCCTTATTAGTGCCTGTCAATACCTCATCAAATTAATATGTAAATGTCGTATGATTAAACGGGTACCATTACAAAGTCCTTTCTTTGGGCTCAAGTTGCGTAATAGCATAACAATTGTACCAACCTTAAGTGTTAGCTTGTGAGGTGGCATACCGGATGGAGTTTGTGAATGCAAAAATTCTAGTGGAAAATTCATTATATCATCCTTATTATCGCTTTCAATGGAATCTGCACTATAATAATGTTTGATAGGGCCTGAAATTATATTAATGATATCGTTGTTGAGGGTAAGTGCAATTTTATTTTTGGTGGTTAATATTATTTTAGTAGAAAGACTATCTATATCAGCAATTTCTATAGAATTACCATACACACATTTTATTAATGAATCATTTTCAAGCAAATAAGGTGGGATTTCAACACTATTTGCAGGAAGATCAGAATTGCTGCGTGATAGCCCATCTCCAATTTTAAGTAACCAAGCATTGTAATCAACTTGATCTGATGAAATACGCATATTATCAATCAAATGTATTATTTTAAAATGACTCCATAAATATGAACTTTTTATACAGGACTCTATAATATCGACTTTGGAGCCTTTAGGCACTACTGGTAAAGTCTGTCTAAAATCACCACCTAATAAAATTACTTTTCCGCCAAATGGGTGGGAATTTTTCATAATGTCTTTAAGTAATCGGTCAATGCATCGCAAAGCGTGTTTAGTCATCATTGTGGCCTCATCAATAATAATCAATTTGCTATTTTAAATATCTAGAGCTAGCGAACTATGTAAATTCATATGGGATGTAGAAGTTTCAAAGATAGGCACAGGTAATTTAAATCCGCTATGGATGGTTCTTCCCCCCTTTAAAAGAATAGAGGATATGCCGGTGGTTGCAAAAGGCAATACAATTTGATTTTTTGCTCTTATATAACACATTAAGGTATTGTAAAGATACGTTTTACCTGAACCTCCAGGGCCATCCACGAAGAAATATCTTTCTGGAATATTTTCTAATTCAATCGCTTGTATAATTAAATCAAAAGCATATTTTTGTAATCGGTTTAATTTAGATATACGCTCGATTGAATCGGCAGCTTCAACATGGGCATCATAATGTTGTTTTGGGGGGATTTTTGTAGGTGAAGGAAGATCAAAACTTTGACAGCATAAACCATGATCAAGAAAAACGTTTTCAATGTCCATTAAAGCCATGTTTATTGCAATTACTTCTGAATATTGACGCAAATAATCTTCAATCATCATAAATCTGAACCTATTCCATAGATATGCAGGATTTTCAGGCTGACAAAAAATGCAGATAAAGGCAAAAGTACTCCGAAGTTGTGACGGCATTTGATATATTGATCCCTCTTCTAAGCATGATTCCCACTCTTTATCATCTGATAACAAATTTCTTTAATAGCTGCCTCTTTAAAAGTACTCATTAAAATTCCATTAATAGTTTTTAAATAATCAAAACTTGTAGCCCCGCAAACATGAAGTAATAATAATCGAAGGAAGAATCGTTCACCAGAATTAGGATGAAGGGAATACATTCTCGAAATTACATTTAATCGTTTTTTTCTTAGTTTCAAATGGTAATTTGTAAACACATAATGATAAGGTATTTCCCCATAAAGATATTGTCTAGCATTTAGATCTGTCTTATTTAACTCAAACCATGCCGTTAAAGTAGTATGTTTATTTTCTGATCTCAATAAAGCATCTCTTTCATGTCCAGCAGTGAAATATACTGGCTGTTGTAAAGGTAAATGAATTCCTAAGCGAATAACAGCGTGCGAGCGGTCATGCATATTATTTTCTAATAATCTCCACATTGATTCACATGCACTCACATATCGCGCATTTAAGTGTGATTTAATTTCGTCATGAATATTTATATTTGAAGCAACATTAATGTCAACATTAGTACAGTCATAGCCCTTGTAAATATACTTAAAGATATATTTTACCGATTTAACAGATGTACAAATTTCCACGTTAATATGAGCATTGAATTTTAACATTAGATATCGATTATATGGAATAACATAACGATTATCCGTAGGTTTACCGGAAAGAATTGTAATACCATTATCTCGCCTTTTATAATATGGATACCCATCAATATTTGGTCTTGTTTCCATTTGAAAATCCTTCGGAAATTTTTTGGTACATATGCCATTTTCCATGCAAGGCGATTTGGGGTTAAATATCCCGCAAGGACCATGTATCATAAAATGGGTAACAATCTGAAAAAGTTTAGGATCGAGAATTTTATCTGGCATTTCGGCACAAACAAATTTATCTATAGCTTGAGATGTTTCAATTTTGCTATCATCGTTTAAAATAATAAGTATATGGGCATGAGGCAAACCTCTTTTTTGGAACTCGATTGTATATATAAAAGCCATAGATTTACCAAATAAATTTTTTTTATTTATATCGAACAATAATTCATTTAATTTCAATTTAAAAACACGGGCTATTAAATCTGGTCTATCTGTAGGACTTTGCCCGGGAAATAGATTTTCCTTAATTTCACGCCAATTAGGATTGCATGTAAAAGTAATAAACAAATCAGGTTTGCCAAATTTGAGCACAATGGCCATTGCATCGTGATAGCGTTCTCGCATATTTCTTTGAGAACCTTGAAAAGATGATGGTAATATTACTGCTTTGCCGGGAATTATATTGTTTGACTTTGTTTCCAAGTAGTCCATTAATCCAGAATATTCATCTACTCGTAATTTTGGCTGATTTTGTCTAATAAAATTTAAATTATTCGCCTCGACCTGTAAATAGGAATCAACAATATATTGTTGTGATAATTTCCCAGCAAAAGGGATTGGGTTGAATTCATTTTCACGAATTGCTAATCTAAATATTTTAAACTGTAGTAGTGAGATATTTGCCCTTGTACGCCCTGTATCTTCACCCTTTAAATCTGGTTTCCAACCAGGGTCACCAAAAGGAAATAATAGAGGATATACCATTGGATCAAGATTAGGGCTTAATATATTTATATTTATCAGATCACTACCATCAACTCGAGGATAGACCTTGATAAATGGGGGTTCACCATCATCATTTGTAAAAATCATAGCTACTTCATCTATATTAGGAATGTTATATCTTCGCTTGTCACTTGAGCGATCTGCACAAAAAATCATATTGATTTTTTGAACTGGACGATTTTCTTGAATAGCCCTATTTTTTTCTTCTTTCTCAATTTCTCCCAAGGTTTTAAAACTAATAGAAAATGGGTTATTCTGTCTTATTAAAATATCTAATCTTTTTAAGAGATCCTCATTGCAACCAGAATTTTCTTTCATGTGTAACCTGCCATTAACAGCCTGGGTGGTCTCAAGGACATATAGTTGTGCAAATTTAGGAGGCATCCCAGTGGAAGGATATAAATGAGATGTTCGGTGATAAATTTGCCCATGAATTCTAAAACAATATGGGCCTGGGTTCAAACTATTAGAAATCTGTGCTCCCATGGATGCGAACGTAAGTGAACTATTATAAGATCTTATATATTTCATAAAGTTTGAATGAAATTCATTGTTAGAATTAGATAAAAGGTCTTGTAAAAAAGGAATATATCGGATTGATGGTATCTTAACTTTACCCTTATGACAGCAATTCTTAAATTTGCCATCTGTGGGTTTTTCCAATAAAAAATTTAGAGAATCGCAATAATCGCACTTAGTGTTGAGTAATCCACAATAATGTTCTTGTACTAATGATTGTTGTGCAGAAATATTTATCTAAAATAAATAAAATAAATTTGAGGCCTGCTAAAAATTATACATATAATTTAATATTTTTGTGATTATTCAGAGACCTGCAGACCCGGTGTAATTGTAAAATAAATACCATCAAAAATCAATACGTTATTGATTTTTATAAATCTTTGATTCGACATTTATATATGAATCACAAAATTTTATAAACTCAATCAATAAGGTCCATTTAATTTATTTGAATTCATAATATCATTTATAAAACTTTGAATCAACAATTATATAGCACTTCACAAATTACAAATAATGAGTAAACAAATATAAAATATATAGGATATCAAGAATTGTAAAATAAATAAATTCTCTGATAAATTATATAAAAGAATAGAAAATCATATTTATCATTTTAATATATTTAAAACTATTAAATCTATTTTAAATAAAATTTTTACAAATCGAAAATGGCCGCCAATATTTATAAAGCGATGAAAAAATATATAATAAATAAATATTTTTTAATTTTAATGGTCGCCAATATATTTGAAGCGATGCAAACATCTTAAAAATCTATACGGTATTGATTCTACAATAGCAATATATCACTACGGTATTGAATCTATAATGATATCAATACGGTATTGAAGTTACAATGGGTATTGATTTCACAATCAATACACCGGCTCTGATGTAAACATATGCCAGGCTTATAATAATTTTTTCTAAAATATTCCATGGGTAATTACGATTATGTAGCACATACTTATTTTATTATATTTTGCCCGTCAAGATGATAGTGAAATAAGAATTTTCTTTTTTATTAGTTGATGAAATATATTTTTTATTGTGGACATAAATTAAAATTAATAACCATATACTTCATAAATAAATAATAAATTTTGAATAACCCCTGATGATGGATAAATCAAAAATTTTCTTATCTATCTTATGAGATGTGATTCAGAAATTTATATTTATTAAAATATTTGTTATACATAAATTAAAATTTTTAACTTGGTTTGTTTTTATTGATTTGGGTAGATTATATTTTTGGTGAATAGTAGATTTTGGTAGTGTCTAATTTAAAAAAATGTATTTGTTAACATAAATTAAAATTTTTAATTTCGTTTGTTTCTATTGATTTGGGTAGATTAAGATTCTGTTGAATGGTACATTTCGGTAATATGATTCGTAGAATCTAATTTAAATAAATTTATTTGTTAATATAAATTAAAATTCATAACTTGGTTTATTTTGATTGATTTTGGTAGATTAAGATTCTGCTGAATGGTACATTTCGGTAATATATATCGTGGAATCTAATTTAAAAAAAATCTATTTGATAACATAAATTAAATTTTTTAACTTCGTTTGTTTTTATTGATTTGGGTAGATTAAGAGTCCGTTGAATGGCACATTTCGGCAATATGTTCCGTGGAATCTAATTTAAATAAATTTATTTATTGTCATAAATTAAAATTTTTAACTTGATTTGTTTTTATTGATATAGGATCACTGAAAAAATTATACTTAGATATTGCACCAAAGGTATCTTGTGTAGGAATCTAAAAAAAATAATAAAATAGATTTTAATGGCCCACAGTAATGTTCAACTTGTTCTTGATTTTCAGTATCTTCAAGATGATTGGATGTTGAAGCAAATTGTTTATTTCCAGTATCTTCAAGATGGTTGGATGTTGTAGGAATAGGACTTTGCTCGTTCCTTTTCTTGATACGACAAAGTGCCTGTCTCTTTCTAGCTTTCTCCTTATGTTGATATATTATTAAAATTTAAAAATATAAGAATTACTCAATTTTATAAAAATAAGTTTAGTTTATAATATTTATTATTGTGGACATAAAATAAAATTACTAAATATATACTTCATAAACATATTTATAAAAAAAATGGAAAATATTAGAATAGCCCCTCACCTAATAAATATATATTTCGGAATCACATCTTAAAAATATAAAATTTACTCTTGTTGAAGCAATAATGCCTTCTTTAGATTTTGGTAGTATGAAACGTTCCATTGTTTGGTTTTGTTGAATGGTATCTTGTGTAGGAATCTAAAAAAAATAATAAAATAGTATTTATAAAAATTTTAACTTACATTGCCTATGAGATAACCTTAAAAAACTTATTTAATATTATATGTATTTATTATGTAAGTTTGTATTTTGTGCAGGAATCTAAAAAAATAGTATTTATAAAAATTTTAAATTACATTGCCTATGAGATAACCTTAAAAAACTTATTTAATATATGTATTTATTATGTAAGTTTGTTTTTTGTACAGGAATCTAAAAAAATAGTATTTATTTAACTTACATTGCCTATGAGATAACCTTAAAAAACTTGTTTAATATTATATGTATTTATTATGTATGTTTGTTTTTTGTGCAGGAATCTAAAAAAATAGTATTTATAAAAATTTTAACTTACATTGCCTATGAGATAACCTTAAAAAACTTATCTAATATTATATGTATTTATTATGTAAGTTTGTTTTTTGTGCAGGAATCTAAAAAATAGTATTTATAAAAATTTTAACTTCCCTAAATCTGCCACTTAACGTGGGTAAAATAGAATAGATAAATGAATTTTCAAATATAAAATAAGATGCTCAGATAAAACGTAAGTATATGTAATGTTCAACTTGTTCTTGATTTTCAGTATCTTCAAGATTAAGATGTGTAAATTGAAAGTATATGGTTTTGCTAGATGTGGTGTCTGTTAAAAAATATAATTATTTACTGATGATTGAAGGTTTTGCTCGATGTTGTGTCTGTTAAAAAAAATATCAATTATTGTAATTATTATATTATTATATGTTTTGTAATTGTTTTTTTGTATTGAAATTCTTTTTTTGAAAATGGCGGTTCGATTTGGTTTATGAATGCGTGTTTGATATGTTTAAGCTATGATGATTTTTATTGAATATATATATTATAGATTTGAATTCCTTAGCTCTTGTAGGATTATCTGCAAACATTTTTTTCATACTAATGTTCCTTCCTGCCTATTGCCTCAAAATACTTCTGAAATGCTTTCCAAGATTTATAGGAGATTAAATCCATTTTGCTAATATGATCTAAATTGGCTTAAAATTGCTATGATAGATAGATAGATAAATTATAGATATATAGAAAGAACAATATATTTGACATCAATTAAGACAAAATATTTACATTTCAACTTAGAAATAATAATGCTATCTAAAATAAAATATAATATTATAGATGGCGCTAAATATCATGGAGATTAAAATTACAATTTAACATAACTTAAATACTTCCGAATTTGTTAATATTAATTAAATATTATTAAGAATCACTCCCTATTTAAGTAGGACAAACGTCCAATAATTAATAAAGAAGTTGAATATCACATAATATATTAACAAAATTATAATTGACTATTATCAGGTAAAATAATTGACTATATAATGTCACAGTTGTGACTGTGACTGCTATAATCATTTTGATTGGACAAATAATATTTAAAAGAAAACTATAGGCTAAATTTGATTGACATTTTTTGAGGATTATATATATAGATAATAGTAGTTTGTAATAATATTAAAAATATATTCGTATTAAAAATTTAACTCAAATCTATATTCCGAAGAAGAAGAAAATAGCTTCTTAAAAACACGTAAAAAAGAGAAGAAAAGATATCGAATTTATTACATCCATTGTGGGATGAATAATAATACCTTTAATTTTAATTATATTGTAAATAAATAGATGGCGTTAAATATTTACAAGCAAATTGTTACTTATATTAATTATCAAAAGCATTTATTAGGAAAATTTTAAAAATATTAACTGTAATATATTATATAACTGTCAGATACGTCTGTAAAAGTGGCATTTTACCTAATATTTTATAAAATATTATATATAATCGAGGATTATAAACTATATGTCTACTTACTTTTTATAAATAAATCTCTTATACTTATTTGGATTTGGACCTTGAAAATAATTTTAGGAAGAAACATGATAATTAAATTTAAAAATCAATAATATAGTTGATTAGTGATTCTTGGCTAAAATATTAAATTATGAATCAATTAATAAATGATATATTTATTATAAAAGTCAATTATGCTTCAACTGTTAATGCTAAATTAATATTTAGTGAGTGATATTGTTATATTTTTAACATATAATTTGTTTGCAAGCTGACATAGTATAATTTATATGTAAAAATCTAATCTAATAATTAAAATAGTATATAACAATTAAGATAGTCTTATTAATTTTTTAATAAATTAAATCTATATATTACTCAATATAATTATAAAAGAAATTAATTAGAGGGCAATTAAAAACATTTATTTTTAGCTCAAGGGGATATTAAGGAACCATTAAAAAAAAAATTTTTGATTCAGGGGGCTATTCAAACTTTTCAGGGGGCTCGAGCCCCTGCCCTCCCTAGCGTCGCCACTGGCTTAAACTTCCATTGTTTTTGAAGACTAATGTAAGTAGACTCTCCCATTTGATGTCTTTCATTGGCTCGATTTTGTTTTCTAGCCAAGTATTTAATTCTTTAGTAATAATGTCCATTCTAGTATGGTACCCTTCTCGGTAGTATAATATTTGGCTCAGCGTATGGTTTTAATCGTGATCTAGCTTGATTCTTCATGACAGGTTTATTAGTCAACTTCGATTCACAATTAGATATCAACTTCGCCAATTCGTCTTTATGATCCACATCTATCATGCCTTTGAATCTTTCAAGTATATTTTTAAAATGTTTTAACCAAGATCTTCCTAACAAAGGCATCTTTTTACTGTTTATGATTAACTCATTCAAAATTTGAAAATCCCCTTCGTATTCTACATTCACTTGTGCTATACCTATCACTTACAGGGTTGCCATGTCTCCCATTAGCGGGAGACTCCCGCAATTTTTTAGTTTACACGCAGACCTCTCTCTCCCGCAAAACTACCGCAATTGGAAATCTCCTGCAAAAATCTACCGCAATTTTTTAATTTCTCCCGCATTTTTTTTAGTATTCCTGGTAAATAATATTTATAATTTATAAAATTTTTATTTACATTTTTTATAGGTGAAATATTTTGAGAAGAAAATCCAAGAAAGCAAGACTCAAATAAAAAGCAACTATAATCCTGGTAAATAACATTTTTAATTTATGATATCAAAAATTAAATATCATTCATTTATTAATTCAACCCATATTCATTTTGAGAAGAAAGAGTAAATAATATTTTTTATTTATAAAAATGAGTTTTTACAAGGGCTAATATCAAAAAATAAATATCATTCAATTCTTTCAAGTAAATTAAATTATAAATGCTTATATTTTTTTTTACATTTAGAATACATCAATTTTAGCTTCTGATGATATTCCCACTCTTTCTAGAGAATTGAACCTAATATTGATTCCTCTTCAGGTTTAATTCATTAATATTTTTAAAATTATTCTTATGTTTTTATTTTAGATAACAAGCCCTGTCTTAACCTCTCTTAATGATTGTACAGATGCTGATTAAGCAACTATTATCCTGGTAAATTATTATTTTTTAATATTAAAATGAGTTTTTACAAGGGTTGATATCAAAAAATAAATATCATTCAATTATTAATTCAGCCCATATTTATTATGAGAAGAAAAGCAAAGTAAGGATAAATAATATTTTTTATTTATAAAAATGAGTTTTTACAAATCAAACAATCATCATACACCCTTAGTTTACAAAATGTATAACATCAATAATTTAAACTTACCCATTCCACACATTCAAAATTATTACAAATATTTATGAAAATAGTTTCAAAACACAAAAGATTAACCTTACCTTTTTTAAAACAAAAATGTGGTATAAAACAAGGATATGCCACCCCCCCTTTCAATCTACTAATTAGTGACATCACAAATACCAGTACAAAATGTAGACTGGCTATGCTACGCCGACAACATATATATCATTATTGAAGATGTCACTAACATTAATTATTTTAACAATAGTCTTAAATAATATGTGAAAAATCAGCCTGATTAAAATTTAAAAAAACTATTCTATCTTTCCTTCCCTTTTAATTTCTTTTATTATCTTCACCTACTTTTTAATTTCCTATTTCTTTCTCTTTAGCTTCATTTCCCTTTTAATTTCCCTATTTTCTTTCCATTTACAATACTTAGTATGATATTTTTTATAATTTTATATTTTTTTTTACATTTAGAATACATCAATTTTAGCTTCTGATGATATTCCCACTCTTTCTAGAGAATTGAACCTAATATTGATTCCTCTTCAGGTTTAATTCATTAATATTTTTAAAATTATTCTTATGTTTTTATTTTAGATAACAAGCCCTGTCTTAACCTCTCTTAATGATTGTACAGATGCTGATTAAGCAACTATTATCCTGGTAAATTATTATTTTTTAATATTAAAATGAGTTTTTACAAGGGTTGATATCAAAAAATAAATATCATTCAATTATTAATTCAGCCCATATTTATTATGAGAAGAAAAGCAAAGTAAGGATAAATAATATTTTTTATTTATAAAAATGAGTTTTTACAAATCAAACAATCATCATACACCCTTAGTTTACAAAATGTATAACATCAATAATTTAAACTTACCCATTCCACACATTCAAAATTATTACAAATATTTATGAAAATAGTTTCAAAACACAAAAGATTAACCTTACCTTTTTTAAAACAAAAATGTGGTATAAAACAAGGATATGCCACCCCCCCTTTCAATCTACTAATTAGTGACATCACAAATACCAGTACAAAATGTAGACTGGCTATGCTACGCCGACAACATATATATCATTATTGAAGATGTCACTAACATTAATTATTTTAACAATAGTCTTAAATAATATGTGAAAAATCAGCCTGATTAAAATTTAAAAAAACTATTCTATCTTTCCTTCCCTTTTAATTTCTTTTATTATCTTCACCTACTTTTTAATTTCCTATTTCTTTCTCTTTAGCTTCATTTCCCTTTTAATTTCCCTATTTTCTTTCCATTTACAATACTTAGTATGATATTTTTTATAATTTAAATAAATTTATATATCTATTTTAAGTATCCTACGTATTTTTAAAGCTATTCATTTTACCGGGCCGCACAATATGTCCTTTTATCTCTGATGAATATTTTGTCTAACTAACAGAAAAATATCCAAAGTAAGTTATTTTTAGTATTTAATTAAATTAATATATCAATTTTTAAGGATTCTACTTTTTTAAAAGCTTGCCTTTTGTCAGATCTACAATTGCTCTATTCTCCATGCTGATTATTTTGTATAACTCACCAAAAAATAAGTATATTATTTTTATTATAAATAATTTTATATCTATCCAAAAAATCGATATATATATATATTACAATATTTTTTTTATTTAATTAAAATTATATATTTATTCTTAAGGATCCTACCTTTTTAACAATACTCCTTTTTATTCTTACTAATTTTTTTGTATAACTCAATAAAAAAGACAAAACGGGGTTTTCTATCTTTAGGATTTTACATTTATTCTAAAACAAAATACATACTATGGTATTTATATTATTTAAATTATTCTATATCTATTCACAAGGTTCCTATTTTTTCTAATTTGCCAATTGGACTCTCCGATTGGTATTTTATTTTAATCCTACCTTATAAAATTAACTTGAGAATTGTTTTGTTTTTAATTATTTAACTATCCCCATCTTATTTCCTCTTTATAATTGTTCAAATATTGATATATCAATGTACAAATGCAAAATAAACCTTTAGAAGAACATGATTGGCTTGATAAGTCCCCAAAAAAATTTTTTGATTATAGCTCCCCAACTACTAGAAATATACTTCTAATATTGACTCCTCTACAGGTTTACAGTATATTAATGTTTGTTTAATTTCAACAATAGTTTATTTATATTTGTGGCTGATTTCTTTATTTGTCTAGGCTAACCCAATCTTAATCCCTCACATTGTTACAAAACATAATGAATCTATTATTAAAAGCAAAGAAAAGAATGCCGATTCAACAAACGCCTTACCCGTTCTAGAGTTACTGGTGGCCAAGATAATAAGGAACTGTGAACTCCTATGGAGGTTTATTTTGTTTTTTATCGAATGTTTTATATCTATATGTTTGTTTTATATTCACCCAGTTGCCTCCAAATGATATTTCTATCACCACTACCACAATACCTATGCCACCTCTGCCTAATTTTTAACAAATATAAGCATTTAATTCCACTATCATTCACCTCACTAGGAGTTAATATAAATACTACTTTATCCGATTCCCTGAGGAACTTTCATGAATATTTAGAGGGATGTTCAAACGTGAATGTGTAGTGCGGCCAATTTTCATATTGCTGTTAGTTTTTTTTTGTTAACTTTCTTATCTTGTCTTGCTCCCTCCATGTGCTTTACATCAGAGTGAGTATTGTCTTTGACTATCTTATGTATTGATATCAATTTCATCTAATTCATTACCTATAATTTAATGTTATCTAAAATAAGTAAATCTTTATTCTTTACTTTATTTCCTTAGATAAGCTTGACACTTTTATTTCCTCTATAACCCTGTCATATTCAACTAAGTTGCAATCCATGGGGCTGACAAATTCGGGTGATTCAAACTTAAAAACTTCCGTTCCTCTTTTGGACCGCAGCATTGAAATAGCTCATTTTCGTTTCAAGTCTTACCAGGCTGTAATAACCTGAGCATAGGCGTGGTTAGGGGGAGAGTCAAGTGGAAATCCCACCCCCCTTCAGAAATTTATCACTTTTTGTGAATATCATTTTAAGCTAATAAAAAATATCCCCCTTAGTCCCCCATTCCTCGACCATCAAAAAAGTATGCATATATTTTAAACAATAATTTGAAAGAAAGTATGTAAAAGTTGATATTTTTTTTATAAAACTATTAATTATAATTTATACATTTTTGGAAAAAAGCATTTATATATATAATAAGTGAACCAAAAATGCTTTTTAAGAAATGGAATATAAGCCAAAGATAAGTCTTAAGACAAAAGTGAAAGGTATTATAATTATTAATAATAGATCCATAAAATAACTAAATAATATAATATATCAAATATAATTTTTTATAAAGTGAATAATTTTAATTTATTTATCTTAATAAAAGTAAAATATAATTATAAAACTATTGATAAAATTAAATCATAAATTAAATAAAATAAAAAAATTAAAGCACAATACAAACAGTGGAATATTATATGTCGTAGATTTACAGTATATCTAATTTTATAAATTATCATATGACAATCAAGTAATTTTTACCAATATAGCGAATTATATATTTTACAGAAAACTATAAAATATGACATTAGAAAATATATTTTAAAGACATTGTGGGATGAATAATATGAAGATTAATTTTTAATATCATTCTTTTTAAAATAAATAGATGGCGTTAAATAATTGAATGCATATTGTTGCTATATTTATTATCAAGAGCATTGATTAGTAAAATTTGTTAAAATATTAACTGTAATATATTCTCTAACTGTCAAATATGTCTCTAAAAGTGGAATTTTATCTAGTATTTTATAACTTATTCTATATAATAGAGGAATATCAACTATATGTCTACTTACTTTTTATAAATAAATATCTTATAATTGTTTAGAATAAATTATTACCATGCTTTTATATTAATCTATATACAAGTAATTTATTATATATAATATAAACTAATAAAAATATATTTCATATTTGTTCAAGGCTTATTTTTTTAATTAAAATTAACCTCCTATCTTGTAAAAATATTTTATGACTAATAGACTAAGGTAACCCGGCAGAAGCCCGGCCTGGGGGGAACCCCCCAGTAATTTTTTAATTCCCCCCCCCCTCACTTAGGAAAATCCTGGCTACCCCTATGAACCTGAGCTTGTTGATTAGTGACGACGATTTCTTAAGATCGGCCTCAGTGCATAGAGATTGTAGTTTAATAAAGATGTCCTCTGGTAAATTGTGGAGTAGTAGTGGCATTATCGTTATATGTACTATTATTATATAATAGATTAATATTAAATAAATTGTATTTTGTTTTTTTTGGTTTATAGTTACCCTTTATTGTAATAGATTAAATATATAAACGATTTTTTAAAAGTTATATATAGATACATTTTCTCATTTTATATTATATTAATAAACACCACATTTTAAACACAACATTTGGCGAGGATTAATTTTTTTTTAAAAAAGAGACGTATTAAATATAAAGGTTAAAATTATACTATGCCTAAGCCTAACGAAGACTCGAAGAAGATATTTCTAAAGAAAAACGAAGAAGCGTCAACATCTAGTCAATTCCATATTCCAGAATTCGTCAAAGAATAAGTGAATATTCCGGACTATGTATATAATTTAGAACTTACAAAGTAAAAAATATTGTCGATCAAACAAAAAAAAAGATTTGTTATTAACATACATAGGTACGGATAACTTAATTAAAATAAAAAAATTCCACCACCCAAATAATTTAGAGAGCATTAATTATATAACTTTAGTTGATAGTTTGAAGAAAATATTTAAGAATATCTCTAGTATTTTCCTACTCGAAATAATTTTTATACTTTAAAAGAGGCGGAGATACTATCATAGATTTTTCTATCAAATTGAAAAGTATTTGCTCATTATGTAAATTTAAATCGCCTAATAAGCTACCATGCAATGATAAATGGGTTGCAGTTTACTATGAAATTTGATACTGGTGCTACGTGTAATATGATAGATGAGGTTACCTGGAGCGTTTAGGCAAGCCATCACTATCGCCTGTATATAAACTAGTGGGATATAATAATATCAAATTCTAAGTATTTGGTAAATTTTTAGTGGAAAAGTAAAAAATATTTCAAAATTTTTACCGATTTGGGTAGTTAAAGGTGAGAATTCCCTTTGAAAGAAGTTCGGATTAATAATATAAATATAAATTTTCCTACTTTAAATTCAATTGCCTCGAAATTTCCGCAAGTTTTTTAAATTAGGAGAAATAAAACTTTAACGAACGTATCCGCAAGCAACCGAACATATTACCTATAGCGTTATCAGCAAGAAGAGTTCCATTTCCGTTATGTCGAACCGTTGAAGCTGAGTTGGACTTTTAGACGAAGTCGTTATCGAGAAGGTGGATCCAACAACAACTCCAATCATATGGGCTACGCCAACGGTTAATATCTTAAATAAATCTGGTGCCGTTCGGATATGCGGAGATTTCGGTTTAACAATCAACAAATATTTAGCCATAGATAATGATTTAATATTAACTTTCGTCGACCTGACAAATGGATCGCGGGGGGTAAAATATTTACAATGATAGATTTAAGAGATGCATTTTTACAATTCGGAGTTGTCCAGAATGTAGGGACCTTTTAGTAATTTCTATTCATGTCGGTTATTACCGATATCAAAGAATCCCTTTTGGATTGACTAGCGCTCTGATAATATTTCAACGCTTTATGCAAAACTCGGATGATAAAACTGTTCGTCTTGGCTAACCATTTTATCCTAGGTACTTTCTTCGATATTTTGATAAGCAATATTATAGCTATCCTGAATCACCCACCGCGGGTATCTTCATTTTTGATGGCTTTCTTTCTCTCGCTCTGAGCTAAGAGAGGATTCATCTTGGCTCAAATCATTTTCTTCTTTTTCTTCATGATTATGTTGTTTTCATCCATATCCCAGTTTACCAGGACGTCGTTTTTCGTAACATTTTGAAGTCAAATTTTTTAATGTAACCGAGTTTACTCGAATTCGCTTTATCGGATTTTACATATTTTTCTGGTTATGAAGAACGAGTCATAGCTTTTTCCTTGAGCTATTCAGCCCATACCATAATTTGGTCGGGGTAGATAGCATCTTTGATAATTTTCCTACCTTTTTTCTCGCGTCTTGTTTTATGGTCACGATCATCCCTTTTAGGCTTTCCACCCTTCTTTTCGGCCGCCCTTTGGATATCTTGTAAATAAGCTTTCAAGACGGTTTCTATGTCCGAAGGACTCTCTTGTTCTTTCCTGGAATGTTTGGATCATCTTTTGGGTAGGGAGGATGTTATTTCCGAGGTTGTCCCTTTAGATTTTATCACTTTCTTTATCACGTTTCTTAGTTTTTTTGGAGGAGGGTTGGGCGAAGGATAGCATTAGTTGATTGAGTAAAGAAACTTACGCTAAATCATAATCGGCCGCCTGGTCACTGGAAGATTCTTCCAACTCGGATTCTGTGGAAGCATCGTCGCTGCTTTCACCGGGACTTAAGGGCGAGCGGTTTGCCCTTCCAACAGCAGATCTACGAATAAATTTCAGAGGGCCTCTCGATCAATCGGATGGCCGGATAGACAGATTTGATTGGCCTCTACGTATTCTTGCCTTAGGAGAGTTGGCCATTTTTTGAAGAGGAGTGAATCTTAGATAATGAGGATTTACGGGATTGGGGTGCGGGTTGTTCTGTCAGAACCTTTGCTACTTTATCCTTTTTATATTTTATTATTTACGAGGTACTCGAGGCGCTCTTATAGGCCTCTTTGTTTGATGATACCTTATTATTGTGCAATGTATGATTTTTTTAAACGTTGATAATTATCTATATTTAAGTTAATAATAATTTGAATCCGTGAGGATAAAATATTCAAATAAAATATTATTATGCACATTTCCCTCTCTTCTAAAAAAGTTTGAATTTCACACCAATTTTTTTCAATTTAAAAAGTGTCTTAATATATAATTCTTCTTCAAATAAAATTTTGTAAAAAATAATTTCCTTAGCCTCAAATCTTTAGAAAAGGATATATTTATCACATCTTTAAAAAAATCTCTACAATTAAGATGTTTAGTTTAAACATTATCTCTCTTTATGATACTTTTATTCTTAAAAGTATTATGCTTTAAAAGTTTCCTAATATTTTATCATATTTGTATTGTTTCATATAAATTTTGTTAGTGATCGCATTGTGTTATTTTTTTTTTCATTTATAAACGTAAAAATATTTCAAAGTATGTAATCAATTTTGAGTATAAGAAATTTTTTTATAAAGATAAAATTCTAAAATGACTAATAAAAAGAATATAAAAACATATAACTATTTGAATTAAAAATGATTCTCAATTAGGTTTTTACTTTGGAGTGACGGTAATTTTAATATTGGGTTATAGTTTTTTTTTGGAATAAAAATAAAAGGAAAAAGATGTAAATAAAATAAGATTGTTAAAACAAATGGAAATAGAAAAAATGAAAACTTTTGTAAATTTAAAAAAGAAATGAAGAAATTATTTAATGAAATGTGCAATATGAAATAGAATAAAAAAAAAGAATAGAATATTAATAATGGATATCTTAGCGATTCTGAAAAGAGAAAGTTTGGAATAAATATTAATAAACCAGATATCATTAGAGATTCTGAAAAATAAAAAGAAGAAATTGATACGGGGAAATAAAAATTAATAAAAATATTGGATTTGAAAATGATCAAATTGAAATAATAAATATGATAAACTGTATTGTGATAAAGGAAATAGAAATTGAAAATATTATGAAAAAGAAAATTGAAATGAAAAATTTAGAAAAAGAAAACAAAGAGAAAGAAAGTTGGAATAATATGATGATAAAATGGAAGGTTTAAGAGTGAACTTAAAATTCGCACATATTCTAATTTTCACATTAGTCTAGATCTCTAAGGGTACTCCATTGTGCTCTAGTTGTAGTCGGATCCACAGGTTCTAGTATTCCGGTTAACACTAATCGATTTAATTCAAGTTTAATCTATTGTCAAAAAGGGAACGGTACTCTCCTTGCGACGAAAGCCCTGGGAACAGCAGAATCATCCAAATTAATTTTCACTGCAAAATCTCTAATACATCCGGGTTTATCATCAAACTGTTTATACTTGTTAATCAACCTTTTTATTTTAACTCCAATTCTCTATTCATAGATATTATAATTGGCGGTGTCTTAATCAGGGACCCGAACCGTTATTTATAACGGTTCAATTTGGTTACGGTTCTTCTCTTCTCTTCTCTTCTCTTCTCTTCTCTTCTCTTCTCTTCTCTTCTCTTCTCTTCTCTTCTCTTCTCTTCTCTTCTCTTCTCTTCTCTTCTCTTCTCTTCTCTTCTCTTCTCTTCTCTTCTCTTCTCTTCTCTTCTCTTCTCTTCTCTTCTCTTCTCTCTCTCTTCTCTTCTCTTCTCTTCTCTTCTCTTCTCTTCTCTTCTCTTCTCTTCTCTTCTCTACGTTTTGATTACGGTTCTTAAGAAGAAATTTATAAAGGTTCGGTTCGGTTTAGCAAAATATAAAAAAGGTTCATTACGGTTAGAAATTTTTTTTTATTGAAGCAACACCATCTTCTAATTTATTTTTACTATAAGCATCTATGAATTATATATAAAAAAAATTATATAAGATTCAAAATAACTCATTTTTAAATATAGTATTTGAAAGTTTTAGTAATATATTTTCTAATATAAATGGATTTTTTTTTGTTAGTTGTGACGATAACACAAATTTTAGCCCCGAAAAAGCCCTTTCTATAGAAACTTGTGTTGCGGGAACCTCTAGTACTATAAGAGCAATTTTATATAATTCTGGATATTCAAATTATTTCCATTTCTAAAATATAAAAACTGAACTGGTTTAAACCGGTTTAACCGTTTTTATAAAGGTTTTTTTTACTCCAAAAAATATACGGTTATGGTTCAGATATTTAAAACGGTTTATAATGGTTTAACGGTTCGTTACGGTTCACTACAGGTCCCTGGTCTTAATGTTATCAATGTTTTCACCATTTTAATCAAAACTTGGCGTGGTATTTCCATATTAAAACTAATATCGAAAGCAATCCAAATAAAAGAGCCTTGTTTGTATTGTTTATAAACACTGATAATCTTTACGACCTTGCTCCGATTTGTGCATAAATTTTAATCTCTCTTTTATATCTAGGATCGGTCGGTTTGATATCTGGTTGCCCTATTTTTCTCAAAATATTTTTCCCAATTAACGATACCTGAGTACGAGTATCAAAATCAAATTCAACTTAAACCATTGACTTTTGTTACTAGTTTAGCTCAATTCTAACAGTTTTTATGTTAATAATCGAATCGTCAAATTCAGATGCCTCCTTAAAATAATTTAAATATGACTTTACAACATCTGGCATACTTACCTATCTGTTGCACTTAAAACAAGTCTCCTTAAAAGCAGGTCGTCTATCAATTCCGTCATTTATTTTGTCACAAAGTTGAAATCTATTTCCTCCCTTTTTATTAAATATAATTAACTAATATTGTAATTTATTGGTATAAAATTATCATAATTGTTATATTTCTAACTAGAATCGCTATCATTGCCTTTATATACCCTTTATCACTACTAGAATAACTTTGATGCTTTCGCAAATTTTGTGTCTAATTTCCTTATCATTTTTATATCTGCTTAATCTTATGGAAGCGCAAGATTGGGTATAAACTTGAAAGTAATATTTCCTTTAGGTAAATCCATGTCAGACATAAATTGATCCCTGAATTTGGTATAAACAATATCAGCATCCATACAATTATTTGGCCCTCAGTGAAGACAATCTTTTAACAAATTCCATAAAAGGCCCTCCTTCCTCTCCTTTTATTTGATTAAAGTCCATACGTGTGGCAAAAATACTTTGTGAGATTATATAGGTTTTCTCGCATATTCTTTTAATTTCCATAAATGTGAGATCCTCAAGTTTCCGTGGAAGAAGTTGTCTTCCATATTTTCTATATTATGATTACCAAAATAAATAAAACAAATCTTATCGGAATAGTTTTTTTTAACCGGAATAAACTTTATCAACATTTAAAATAACAAATAATAACAGAATTTTTTTTATATTTTTCTTATTTGATATGTTTAAAATCATTATCAATTCTTGCATTATTTGATAATTCCAAGAATATTATTTATAAGAATGAGTGTTAATATTGTAGAGTTAAATATATTTAGTTTTCGTAAAATATATTTATTTTAAACTAATAATTTTACTTAATAATCAAAATAGAATGTATATTTCTAGGTAATTAGCTTTTTCTTATTTTATTCATAAAATATTTCTAGCATACATTCGTTACTAATGCCGCGATCATCCCGACCATCAAAAAATTTGAATTCTCGTCCATCTAGTAATCAAGAATTATCTGAATATGAACTCATTCGTCAAAAAAATATAAAAGAAAAGTTAAAATTTCTTGAAACGCTTGGTGTATCTGAGGTTTAAATATCTAAAAATATTTCTTAAATGGATAAGTTTTAGATTAAAAATGATATTAAAATTAACTCTAAAAGAAGCATAAAGGAACCGAAATTTAAGATTATGTACATATAAATGTTGATAAATAATTATATGTTTAATAGAAAACCAGCTAAGGCCAAAATACCTTTAAGAAGAAGTAATCGAATACTGAATAAACCTGCAGAAATTGTACCAAATTCAGAACAACAACCTGAAGAAGAATATTTTGTATGCATATATTATATATGATGTATAGTAAATATTATATATAGTCAAGAAAAGAACCAAAATTATCATTTATTCAAGCCTGTTTAACCGAAACAGAAGAAAAACCAATTGAGGAGATTTTAGAAAATCTTAAGCATCAAGTTTTGAATAAAACAGATTCTAAAGAAAATAAGTCAAAATTAAGCAAAAAATTCTCATCTAAAGTTGAAGAGTAATTTTTATTAATTAATTTCACAAAAATATTATATTGAACCATATTTTAATGAATATCGAATAATTAAATTTAAAAAAATGCTTAATATTAAAAATTTTTTTATATATATAGATGGCATTTATTTTTTAAAATAATCAATGAGATAAGAATGTTGAGTTATTATACTTTTTTTCTATAAATCATATATGTATCAATATAAAATAATGTATCTCAATAATTACACTTGAGTTAAAGATCTGCAAAGTTGGCCCATCCTTGGAAAATTTAAAAAAATAATAACTGACCAGGCAAAGAATTATAACTGGTTTACATAAAAAATTTTTGGACCTGCTGGATGGATAATTTATATATAAAAAAAACTAGTCATAGCCTCACAAATATCTGATTTTTTTGGGAAATTTTGATAGGCCAGCCTAGCATTAATGTCTTAATTTTTTTAATTTCAAGCTAATATTTTGATTGATACTATTTGAAAAGAAATTATAATATGCTTATTTCTTTATATTTTAAGAGCTGCATAACCAGAATATGAAGTCTATATAATATTTACATATACACAATGAAAATATCAAACAGAATGGATTTATAAAAGGGCTGTTGTAGAAAGAAATAGCCACAACGATGAGATATAAGGGCCTTAATTTACATTGGGAAAAATTAGATATAGATATTAAAAATGTGATGGTCAGGAAATTTGTACAAATAAATTTAACAAATTAGGGCAGACTATTCTTAAAATTTTGATGAGCTTATACAATTTTTTTGAAAAATTATCTTGGACTAGGCTGGGCAAAAATTTTAACAAACCAGGGAATAAATAATGAGCCAGGCAGCCCTATAAATTTTTTAATGGGTAAAAATGGGCAAGGCTTTGCAAATCTCTAGCTTGAAATGCTTTAATAGTATATACAATAATTAAGCCAATTTGAAAGCTTAAAGAAACTTTAATTCATAACTAATCCTTTAGATTTAGGTCTATAGAATTTGATTTCTAGAATCAGGACTATAATTTGGATTATTAATTTTTAATGTTTTGTTCTATCTTTTAAAATTGGCTCAGGACCAGGGTTGCCAGGTCAAAATTTTCAAATTGCGGAGAGAAATTTGGTATTTTGCAAAATATGAAAATTATGGGAGAAATATGAAAATTGTGGTAGAAATAACAAATTGCTATAAAATTTTTTTTTGCAGGTGTTCAGGATTTTGAATTGACTTAGTTTTCCTCCTATTATTTTTATAATAATTAGTTTATAATACAAAGTCATTAACAAGTCATTAACTATTTTTCAAAATAAATTAAAATTTTTTAAATACTATCTTTACTATTAAAATAACATCTTAATTTATTAAAATATATTAATTTTATAAAAAAAACAATTTTACAACATAAAAATATATTTTAAGCGAAAGTCCCACAAAACTACCGCAATTGGAAATATACCATGTGTTTGTGTATAACATTATAGGGATATGCTCTTAATTAGACCTATATTGTACTTATTTCAATGATAATTATTTTATTTATTATAGTTCAATTATATTATTATCATTATAATAGGGGAGTGTATCTATATATATTGAAAAATAAAAAATATTCTCCAAAAATAAGAAATAATACAGATGCAACTACAGTTGCGGCTATAGTATACATTTATCATGTAGTACAACATTAACAGAGCTACATATCATCACAATATGGGTAGAATCTTTTCCTCATAATATTTAATGCCTCCAAGATAAATGAAAACTTTACTTGTAGGACAAAAATGAGCAAGGCTATCATCAATGTTTAAGAACCTGAATCCAGGAGGTCAATTCTTGATGATTTGGAAGATAGACATACATATGCAATTCTAACAGATGCATCTAATAAGGGAAATATTCAAACATTTCCCTTGATCCTCTGCTATTTTAACAAAAATAAGGTTGTTTCAATAAAACTTAAATTTTTTCCCTTAAATAGTGAATAATCCAAAGACGTAACTAACCATATAATGGTAAATTAGCAGATTTGAGATTATCAATGAATTGCATGTCAGCTTTCTGATACAGTGTATTTACAGAATTGAGTCACCCCAATGTTGATTGCGACATGTTCCCAATACCTGTCATCAATATAATTTTAAAATTTTATAAATCTTTAAAAAAATATTTCTTAAATAAATTATAAAAAATGTCTAACATTTTGAAATTTTTTTTCAAGAATGAATGGCAGAGGTATATTTAGGAATGATTTCACATGTAGGAAATCTACTACATGCTGTTAATATGAAGTTGAAATCAGAAGAATCTTTTTTAATATAGATTCACAAAATTATGCTGCAGATGTGTTCATAATTTACAGTTAAAAATTGATAATAAATTTTATGGCGCTATTACTAAAAATTTATTAAAATGTTTGAATATTTTAAAAATACTGATAGACATTGATGTCTTGTTTAAGGAGATTGTAATGCTCTCTATTTTTGATTTGCCAGAATATTCAAAACATTAATTTTACAATGTAATAATATTTATTTTTTGTGAATGTATAAATAAGATTTTATAAAATATATATGGAAAATTAAATAGTTATAATGTTTATTATATTTTATTTGAGATTTAAATAATGGAACTAAACGTTTATCGTCGTTACGAGATATTTATAAAATGCCTGGCACGACATATTATAATTTTGTTTAACAATTAGCTCGGCCTCTAATGTTGTTAAAGCAATCCGATTTCACCTTTCTTCAGGCTATCAGGCTAAAAATGCGCTCCGATGAGGCATTAGAATGAGGTAAGGAGAAAACATACTATTTCCAAGCATGGGGATTTATCTTTATTACGAAAAAATTCCACCTATTTCTCCTTTGTTTTAGACCATCTAACATATTCTGGCGAATCATAAAAAATAGAGAGAATTACTATCTCCTCAAACAAGAAATCAATGTCTATCTGTTTTTTTAATATATATTTATATATTAAATTACAAAAACCATCAATTGATGGTTTCTATTTCAAGGTAATATATAAATACTTTTGTAAATAGAGTTATTAAAATCAAATTTTGATTGTAAATGTTCTAAAATTTTCTTAATAAAAATATCTGCTTCATTTAAAAATATAATAATGAAAGTATTATTTGAACATTTTAATATAATATTTTTGGCAATAGCGCCATAAAATTTATTATCAATTTTTAACTGTAGAGATGAACAGAGCTGTAGCATGATTTTGTGAATCTTTATTAATAAAGAATCTTCTGATTACAACTGAATATTAACTACATGAAATAGATTTCAAAATGTGAAACTAATCCCAAATATGTTTTTGCCATTTCATCCTCGAAAAAATTTTTCAATAGGACAGCTTTTAAAATCTTTATTTAAGAAGTATTTTTTTCGTAAAATTTTATAATTCTATCTATGACTACCTGATAGGTACATATCGCAACAACTCACACCATTCCAAATCAGACCACTCCACCAACTCTTTTTTCATTAATTCTTTTAGTTGATGAACTAAATCGTTAAAACATTTCATCACAATTATTTCGACATCCCCGGATAGTACATTCATTGCTTTCTTGCAAGAATTATGTAGTATATGGCATATAAAACCAATTGGTATTAATTCATTATTGTGCTGCCTCAATTTCATAAATATTTGATTTTTGTCAAAATTCACAGAGGCATTATTAGCGCAGAAAGCTGACATGCAACTCATTGATAACCCTGAATCAGCTATATTTACCATTATGTCGTTAGCTATATCGTTGAATTTTTCACTATCCGAGGAAAATTTTTTAAACAGTTTTATTGAAATGCCCTTATTCTTGTTGTTAGATGCATCCGTTAGAATTGCATATGGATGCCCATCTTTCAAATCGTCTAGAATAGCCTCTTGGATTCAGGTCCTAAAATATTTATGATTTGCTCATTTTTGTTTTACTACAAGTAAAATTTGCACTTATATTGGAGTCGTTAAATATTATTGGGAAAAGATTCGACCCACATTGTGATGATAGATAGCTTATGAATGTTGAACTACATGATAGGTGTACACGATATCAGAAATATAGTTGCATCTGTATTATTTATTAATTTTGTAGAATATTTTTGTTTGCAATCGATGTTGTTATACTCCCCTGTACTGACTTATATGAATGAAATTATGTATATTTATTATCGGATAAAAATAAAACAGGATAGAAATAAATTTACAAACTATACATGTTTTTCGAATAAAAATTTAAAATTTATTTTAAAAATATAAAAATAATCAATTAATGTCTTTTAAAACCAAATTATTATTTATATATTAAAAACATTTAAATGTTAAAAAAAAATTTCGGGAGAAATTAAAAAATTACGATAGGTTATCGGGGGAGATTTTCATTTGCGGTTTGCGGGAGTGAGATATCGGCGCGTAGACTAAATTGCCGGAGTCTCCCGCTGATGAGGGGGGCATGACAACCCTGCTCAAGACCAGACTGACATATTTACTTTGTTAAACTAGATTTATAATTACTTTTTTTTATAAATTATAGCTAATTAATTCACTTTATGCCATATAGATGCTATACATCATATATATTAATTATATGCCCATTTCCTTTTTCCATAAGATTGATAAAAAGTTTTTCGCACATGGAATTACCCGAAAAACAGGCTAGAAAAGTTGTCCCAGAAAGAATTTTTTCCCTTTGCTGGTTCCCAAGAAGTGATACTAGACCCATGCTTTTTGCTGGTGATAAATGGGGCAGAATAGGATTGTGGAACATGGTAAATTTTTGTTTTATTAATAGAATTGGCTAATATTTATTTGAAAAGCATCTATTTTATAGACTAAATTACTAAAAATAAATAGCATTTTAAAAATTAAAAACTATTAGAATCTTATTTTTTATAAATTTATTTTGAAATTACAATTACTTATTCTTTTTATGATTAATTTTATTTTACATATGATTTTGACTTTTTACTAGTGTTGTTAAAACGCCGCGAGTCGCGACCCCGACCCAAAGTGCGGGTCGTTTTTTCGACCTCGACCCGAGTTCAAGCCGAAAAAAACGACCTCGACCCGAGTCCAAGCCGAAAAAAACGATCTCGACCCAAAATATGGGTCGTTTTTTACGACTCAGACTTGAAGTTTGGTCGTTTTTTTCGACTCAGACTCGAAGTTTATTTTTTAAGACAAAATAAAAATATATTTTGGAAAAGAATGATAAACATAGGATGGAAAATCCTATGAGGTTGGGAAATAGGGATTTCAGGATTTCTATCTTATTTGTCTGACAATATCTTGAAATTTACTGTAATAAATATATTTGGATATAGCTTATATCACTTAAAGCATAGCTTTGAAGCATCTAAGAATTTTTACCCAAAATATTAATAAAATAAGATTTAACTTTAAATAAATTATTATAGGTTTTGGACCTACGGTTTAAACTTTAACCTCTATTATTATATAGTAAATTTTTTAATTTAATAGTAATATAAAATATGATAAAATTAAAAGTGTTATTCTAATTTTTCTATCATATATCCCCTTTACCTTTTTGTTAAAGATTTTAGGTATTAAATTTAGTATTAAATAAATAGATCAAACTATAATCATGCGATAATAGTAATAATACCCAACCCCTGATAGTAATAAAAGTATTATTACTATTATCGCATGATTATTAATTAGATTAATAACCCCCACTAACTTCATTAAAAAATGTTAGAGGGGGGAGATCCTGACACAGAAAACAATAAAATTATTAGTAGGCTAACTCCTATTACTTTATATATTAGCAAGTAATTAGCTTTTGCATTAGCTACCCTTAAAACTATTATTTTCAAATTTTTTACTCTAAAAATTAAAGAGATATACATTCCTTTAAATAATAAAAAATAATATACCCCTCTTCTTACTAATAAAACTATCCATACTGACATCCCAATTGAAGAATACACTATGATCATCATAAAACTTCTTATAAAAATCGGCGCTAAGGATCTGATTAGTGCTCTCAACCCACAAACCATAATTGGTTTGTCTCAAGATCAAAAATAAGAGGCTGGCAGTTCTTTGTACCAAATAGTACAATAATAAACCAGGATTAACTTTTGCAATGTAGATATTGGTACAAAGAACTGCCAGCCTCTTATTTTTGATCTTGAGACAAACCAATTATGTATGGGTGCCAATCCTGCTTTCATTATGCTGGCAGTTCTTTGTAACAAATAGTACAATAATAAACCAACTTAAGATTCAACCCCCTCCCCCAAAATAATAAAAACTAAAAATAAAACTAAATTTAATGCTAACCCCTGCCAAAAATAAATAAAAGAGGTAGATCTAAATATATAATTTTAAATAGTGATTTTAATTAAGAATTTGAATCTTAATTTGATAGAATCTATCTTCACTAAAATAAGTAAACTTGGTAACTCAAGCTGTAAACTTAAGTGAGACTATAATATAGTCGTTTACTATACCTAGCCTCTATACAACAAACAGAGCACGCTTACTATTTAATAAATAAGATTAGATATTATAAATATTTAATAAGTTGAGTTTGTAACTCAAAGATACTGTACAAAAGTTTTAATCAAATTTTTAAAGGAAGATAGAAGTGGTCTTATCTCAAACCCCCAAAGTTTGTATTTTTTAAACTATCTTTAATATATTAAATTTACTAAAACAGCTGTCTCTACTCTCAGAAGAACTAAGAATACCCTTAACCCTAAAGGGTGGGAAGGGTGGGAGAAGACAGCTGTTTTAGTAAATTTTGATGCACCTTCCTCCTTGTTTACCTTGGTTATTGTGATAACTTACACAGGTGATATACTAATTTTATTCTTGTATTCATGCGTTTTGTCTCCAACCCCAATATGAACCCTATGCTAACTAAACTTTATAATGATAAATAAACTATTAGAAAATCTGAAATATTTAATGAAATTAACAAATTCATTATTGTTCTCCCCCCCCCCCCCAACATTAATTATTGATGAAACACAGGATCAATTACAGGATTTTTCTTTATATCCCAATTTATTACAGGGTTCTTTCTTTCTATACACTATATTTCAGATATTAATAAATCATTTTTTATAGTAGTCTCTATTGAGAATAATATTTGGGAAGGATTTTTATTACGCAATCTTCACTCTATAGGTGCTCCTTTATATTTATTTTTATTTATTTGCACATTTTTCGTGGTTTATTCTACGGATCATTTGTTATAAATTATATAGTATGATCCTCAGGGGTAATTTTGCTACTTCTAACCATAATAACAACCGGTATGTTCTTCCAAGGGGACAAATATTCTACTGAGGAGCAACTGTAATTACTAATATAATGTCCGTCATCCCTATTTTAGGAAAGCCTGTAGTTATTTGAATTTGGAGAGAATTTAATGTGAGAGATCCCACATTAAAATCGATTCTTTTCCTTATATTTTACCTTTTATTTTACTAGTATTCATAATAACACATTTAATTTTATTACATTTAAAGGGTAGCAACAATCCTCTCGGTATCCCTTCTTCTGCTTTTAAAATTCCATTCCACCAAACTTTTTCATATAAAGATATTTTTGGTTTTATGTTACCTCTATTTTTATTTTTTGTACTTATTTTTTTGTGCCCTGATTTGTTTACAGACGTAGTCAATTTTATTGAAGCTAACCCTTTATCCACCCCTCCGCATATTATACCTGAGTGATATTTTCTTTTTGCTTATGGTATCCTACGGAGTGTACCAAATAAATTGAGTGGAGTTATTTCTCTATTTATAAGAATCATGATTATATATGTCTTACTTATATCCTCAAAAAATCTTTTAATTTATAGTTCTTTACGTAAATTTATTACAAACCTTATTGCTTGTTCTTTTATCTTATTAAGCTATATCGGTTCTCAGGTTGTGGAACCCCCTTTCATTATTATAGGGCAAATACTTAGTGTCATTTACTTTTTATTATTTTTTATTATAGCTTCTATCTGAGTAAACTTATATTTGCCTTGAAAGCAAATCAAGATCCTAAAAATCATTACTCTTCAATATTCATTTAATATAATATAGAAATTATATAGAAATTTCAACTCTAAAATACTTAGAATACTTTAAGTAATGAATTTTTAGGTAAATATATACCTCTAAATTCTAAATTTAGTACACAAATTATGCTAACCTAAATTAAATTTAAAGTGGTCCTTTCCTACTAACTTTATACTATAACAATAAAAGATAGGAACCGATCTGGCTCTTGCCGATCTGAACTCAAATCATGGATAAATTTAATGGTCGAACAGACCATCCTTTAAAACTACTGCTTCTTAATAAAAAATAATTCAACATCGAGGTCGCAAACACTATAAATTATAAGATCTAATTTACTATAGTACGCTGTTAACCCTAGGGTAACTTTTTCTAAATATCAATATAAAATTGGATCTCTTTAAAATACACTCTATTTTAATATTTTATAGGGTAGTTTTAATTTTAGCCCTAGTTGCCCCAACTAACTGTAGCTATATACAGAAGCTCCTAGGGTCTTTCCTTCTTTTTATTAACTAAGATTTTTCACTTAAAAATTAAATTCAATTTTATTAATCAATAATAACTTAAAATAAATCTTACCATTCATCCTAGCAAACAATTAATTTGCAAATGATTATGCTACCTTTGCACGGTCAAATTACCGCGGCCATTAAATCTTTCATCATAGGGCAGGCAATACTAAAAACAACTGCTTTTAGCTAAGTATTTGTTAAACCTACATTTTAATCGAGTAAATTGATTAATTCATACATATAATTATTTTATTATAAAATATTACTTCTACTAATTAAAGCAAATTTAAACTTAATTTCTATAAGTTAAACCTAATTAATTTTGATTAATTATATTTAATATATAACGAACTACAATAAACATTAAAAGATTTTATCTCAATTTTATATTAGCATTTTCTCTATACTGGTTAACTTTATTTAAAAGAGCTCACCCCTATTAACTTCGAAGACTACTCATCGCATTCTAAAAGAATTATTATCATTAAGCCAGATATAAAAGAACAAAATGAATTTCACCATAATAAAATTTAAGTAAAAATTTGAAACTTTTTACTTAAATTTTATTAACTATCTTCATTATCTGGGTAGTTAACAATAAACTTTATTATTACCTTATCGTGTTGCAACAGGAAACCCTAATATCTTTATATTTAGGTCCTTTTCAGGACATCAACAATTTATTATCCAAAATACTATAATTAAATCTTTAAAATTTTTACATAATTCACCTTTTCAGTGTAAATGAAACGCTTTATTATAAAATTATTTAAGCTATATGTAATAGGCCTTCTTTCAAGAAGGCCTACTTTGTTACGACTTGTCCCTATAGGGAATGACGGGCGATATGTGTTTAGTTTAGAGCCTTTTCATTAAAACACTCTTATTTTAATTACTTCTAAATCCTAAATTTTAGTGTTAACTATTTTTAAATAGTTAAAAGTATATTATATAAAGTACTCCACTTAACTCTAAATATCCTAAACTTTGACTTGAAAAATTATTTTGTAAAATATTTATTTTTAATTTTTAAACAAAAAATATATTAAACAACAATACATAAAGAAAAATTTAGATAAGGTCAAAAGCGTGCTGTCAACTCAATAAGCTAGATCCTCTAGTCGGAAAAATTTTTTATGTTTCAAATTTTATAATACTTAGGTATTTTCTATTTTATCTATAATAATAGGGTATCTAATCCTAGTCTTA